AATAGCTCAACTGCAAGGTCCCCCTTCCCTTCCGAGTTACTTACAGACTGTGTGATGTATTTCTGGGTTAGATTTTAGCTGCTCAGGATGCGAGAATTGCTGATCCTACTTCTGCCTCTTTAGATCACAGAATCACAGAACGGTAGGGGTTGGAAGGGACCTCTGTGGGTCATCTAGTCCAACCCCCCAGCCAAAGCAGGGTCACCTACAGCAGGCTGCACAGGGCCTCCTCCAGGCGGGTCTTGAATATCTCCAGAGAAGGAGACTCCACAACCTCCCTGGGCAACCTGTTCCAGTGCTCCGTCAGATCTTCCCTTTGCCTCTGGCTGATATCCCATCTGGTGTGGCAGCAGCGTTGCAAGTGGAGTGAATTCATGTCCTCACCTCCGCTTTCATTCTGGAAAGTCGTTAACGTGAAATTGCCAAGTAGAGAAGCTCCAGAGAGTTTAACGTGGCTACTTTATATTGCTGCTAGGAGTGTCTGGAATTGAAAATAAACCTGTGCTTGCAACTCCTGACCCTTTCATCATAAATCCAAACTTCCTTACGTGTTTTATTTTGCTGAAGAAGATGACTGTATTTCTGTCTTTACAAAGGCATGTGTGCAGCTGAGAGCCGCAGCTGCACAGAAGCCGGGTGATGTTTATTTGTAGGGTTTCACTCGCTGGCATTTTTTTGCAGATGATCCCCAGAGGAAATAACCCAAATGTGTTAAATGAAAATAGTTTTCATGTGGCTTGCTGGCCTCGCTCCAATTCTTGGGGGACAGTTGTCCACACTGAAACCACAACTCTGCGATTGTTTCTCTGGCGCCCACGCAACACCATGTGAGTGAACATCATGGCCTTGTCTGCCCTCACATGCTGCTTTGCATGTCTCAGAGGCCAGGGTGTGCTGTGGTGGTCCTAGGTCTCATCTGAACTGTGTCATGTAAGACAAAGTGCTGAGCTCACTCTTCAACCTCACCCTGGTGCTTGGATCATAGATGGTTTGGGTTGGAAGGGACCTTTAAAGGCCACCTAATCCAAACCACCTGCAATAAGCAGGGGCATCTTCAACCAGGTCAGGTTGCTCAGAGCTCCGTCCAACCTGGCCTTGAATGTTTCCAGGGATGAGCCTTCTACCACCTCTCTGGGCAACCTGTGCCAGTGTTTCACCACCCTCACTCTAAAAAATTTCTTCCTTAGTTCTAATCTGAATCTATGCCCTTTTAATTTAAAACCATTACCCCTTGTCCTATCGCTATAGACCCTGCTAAAAAGTCTGTCCCCGTCTTTCTTCTAAGCCCTTCTTATAAGCATGTGTCCTTCAATAAATAATCTTAGGGAGATAAGATGAAAAAAAAGGGCTTACATTTAGATTCATGTCTGTAGGGGGAAAAAACATGATTCTAGCCCCTTTAAGTGTAGGTCTGAGCTCAGCTGGAGCTGGACCCAGTCTGATGGAGGAGGAACTAACCAGTGGCAAATGGATTAATTAAGTCTCAACAGGTTGGAGATGCGCTGCAGATCAGCCACAGGTTATTGTGTTTGATGCTGGGATCTCTGGGTCTATATCCTCTTAGGGTTTTGCAGGAAGATGAGAGCTTATTCTGGCTGTGTGAGCTCTGATATACATCTACAGCAATCACATACTCCAGCTGACACATCTTGGCTGTTGATAGAGTGGGTTACGGAGGGCTCAGTGCGGTATCCTTATAGCCAGGCAGACTCAGACTCCTCTGGGGAGCAAACCAAAGTAGCTGATATCTCCCTGCAAAACAGCACAGACAGCTTCTGCCTGACATTCAAGGTCCTGGGTCATGCAGGAAGGCAGACCAGGGGATTGCATGGGTCCTTTCTGGTCTTCAGGTTCTTCAGCTGGAGTAGTTGGTCTTGGCTGTGTTGCAGGGAGTGGAAGGCTGTGTTGCACCAAGCAGGATGCCTTGGACTGTGCCAGCTCTGCTTGATTCCTATCGTTTCACTGCTTTTTCCTGTTGTTTGAGATGGAGTTTCATCCACTGGTAAGAATTCTGCTGGTCTTATTGATTTTTTTCATCCTCTTGGTGGTGAGGATTGCTGTTTCCCATTTCTTGTTTTCTTTTAAAACTGTGACAAAGCAGGACTTTCTTCCCTTGCCCCCCTTTCTGCCATTTGTAGAAGGTTTGGGCATTTTGTACTTTCAGTCTGAAAAGATTCTTCTCTCCGTCTGTCAGGCCAGCAGTCTGAGTGAGACACATACACAGCTTTATTATAGCTTTAAAACACAGATCATGTTAATTTGAGAGCTTGAGAGTTTTCGGTCAAACTGGGCCTGATTTCAAGACCTGGATTATTCTCAGATCCTGCATCCGTAGGATAATTCAGGTTGAAAGGGACCTCAACAGATCATACAGTCCAACCTCCTGTTCAAAGCGTGATACATCTTAATGTTAGGTGCTTAGGCTAAGTGAACCATCTGGAGTCCTTTTGCAATCAGCTGGCTCTATCGGAAGGTGATCCAGTTCATTACGAAGTTGATTGGTCGGCTTGTTCTCTGACATAGCTTCTTTTGTCCATTGATTATGGAGGTAGTTTGGATGACAATTGTAGGCCATTTACTAAGATTTCTCATGTCTAAAGCTAGGCGAGATGGATCCCACACCAGGTCATATGTCAAGTAGTGAACTGGTGAATAGAAGGCTTGTCACACTTCATCAGACCAACACACTGCTCCTCTTGTTAGCTCATCTCGGACAGTCAGTGTCTCACGTCTCGCAGAAAGATCTGGGTAGTGTCGCTGCTTCAAACACATTTGTACTTCTCGAGTAATCAGGCTGCAGTTTTTCCATCCTGACCTGTGTAGTGAAGCTGTACGTGTTCTCATTATCAACAGAAACATCCAGTTCTCATAAGTCATGCTGTCAGCGGGGGTGTCCTGCCTCTCTGAAATGTGGTCATCAGCTTGGTGGTACTAGACCTGAGCTGAATTTGGCCTTTGGATTTGGGATGCAGATTTGTTTTACACTTTGTGGTGGTGTTGCAGACCAGGAACATCCTGTCTCCTGCTCATGAAGGCTGTTGATCTGATCTGTAATTGCTCTTTGAGCTGGTGATTTAGCTCTGAAAGGGCAGTCCACAAACACTAATGACTCTTGCAGGCCAGAGCTCAGGCTAGCTGTTCCTGACTAATGGCTGCTTGAATTCCTCATAGGTATTATGTGTTTATGAATACATTTAGGACACATTATTCTTCCATTCAGTAAAACCATCTGTAATTATTGCCTGTAATTGCTGGGTGAGGATGAAATGAGTCAGCTATCAGGCTTTTACTGCTCGTGAACTCATGCAAGGAGCAGCACGTATTGTAGCCATGCTTCCAGGAAGATGTGCGCTCAGACAAAGAAAATTGTCATGGTGTTTTCTACTGATATATGAAAACTAGGCAACCTTCCTATGTAATTATTTATTGCCTTTCTAGGCCTTAGTCCAGCAAAACATTTTAAGCAGATGCTTAACTTCAAATATGTGAGTGGTCCCAGTGAAGTTAATAAAGTGTAACTGCTTTGGCAATTGTGCATTGTGACATTAGGAGCTGCTGCTTTATTTGACTTATTCTGTGGAGATCTTCGTGCTGACAGCCTGTATTAGACTCACTTACTGTCCAGGTGGTGCCTTAAGGTAGAAGAGTTGTCTGTCCTGTTCTGCTGCTGCATTTCTGTTCACTTAACTTCAAGTTACAGCTGAACATGAAGAAGAACTTCTTCACTCTGAGGGTGACGGAGCACTGGATCAGGCTGCCCAGGGAGGTTGTGGAGTCTCCTTCTCTGGAGATATTCAAGACCCGCCTGGACAAGGTCCTGTGCAGCCTGCTGTAGGTGACCCTGCTTCGGCAGGGGGGTTGGACTAGATGATCCCCAGAGGTCCCTTCCAACCCCTAACATTCTGTGATTCTGTAACTCCTGGAAGCTCAAAGAAACATCCTCAGAGATAACTAGACACTATGTGCATGCATACACGAGGATCCCAGTGGAGCATTTGTCTGATGACAAGCCTGTTGAGTTCAAATGCAACAGGTATTAGAGCTTAGGCAGCAGCATTAATGAGCAGATCCTTTTCTCTGGTTGTTAAGAGTTTGGTGGGTATCTCCTACAAACACTGAAAATCTCCCATAACAGTTGTGAGACCTTCCCTCCTTTGCAAAGACTGCATAGAGTCACAGTACCCCAGTAAGATGGATAACTGAATGATCTCTATTTCATGGTGAAGAAATGGGGACCCAGGACTACGAAGTGCCCAGACTGAACAGTGTGAGAGAAGGACCCAGGATTACATGATTAAGCTGACCGCAGGAATGTGGAGTGTGTGCAGGCACTGTCTGTGGTGTTCAATCCTTAGCATGGTCCCTACTGCAGATGTGGGCTGGCCTCACCAGCTCTCTCCCAGACAAAGCCTGGACATGCCTCGGGGAACTAGAACTTCCAAGATATAGCATGAGTGATGCTACAGGGTTTGGAGGTGGGAGGGGAGTGGTTATTTACGTTTCATGGATGTGAGCTTTACTATTGGGTCTCAGGGTCAGAGGGCAGGCCAGGATCTATTTTACTTGCCAGTGCAGATTTAGCTCAGCAGTTTAGAATCAGTGGTTCTGATTCTGGATCCTATGGGAAAGATGTGCACACTTTTTCTGACAGAAACAGATACGTTTAAGACATTTTTGGCAGACTTTGTCTTCAATTGCTAGGTCTTGACTGGTAAAACTGACTGGTAAAGCAGTAGGAAAAAACTCAGCGTAATGTATCCTGCTGGGCTGTCATTCAAGAGAAGCAAGTTTCCAGTTCTCCTTCTGTCTGTAACTCATCATGCAACTTTGGATAAATTTTTTCCACCTCTGTATTTCTCCAGTCCTGCCTTTGTCATTGATTTGTCAGCCTGCATAAATTATAGGCGTGTTACACAATGGTGTCCCTGATTGGATACTTCCCAAATGGCTAAAGAATCGGTGGCTTCATTTCTTCACACCCTCTTTCTTTTTCTTTATAGCTGTTAACAATTGATGATAATTTCTGTGGCCTGGATATGAATGCCCCCTTGGGAGTATCATCCATGGTGCGAGGGCTCCCCATTTTCACCGAGGATGGAGACAGAATGACATCTGTGATTGCCTACGTCTACAAGAACCACTCCCTGGCTTTTGTGGGCACCAAGAGTGGGAAGCTCAAGAAGGTAAGACATAACATGCTCCTCTAACTCAGATTTTCACGTTCTTATGGAGATATGCAAGGTTGTATTGAGTGTGAGCGCAGTCCTGCTTCTAAGGTGCATCACCTATTTTAAGGATAGAAAAGTTTCAGTTGTGTTTCACTGTGTTTCACCCTGGAGGGACAGAGCTGATGTAAGAAAGGAGAAAATTCTTCTTCCAAATTGTTGTTCATCAGCAAATGAATGTTTCTGAAGTCAAACCACAGACCCAGCCACAGACGGGCTTGATATAGTTTACATCCAGCAGATTGTTTTGTGTTCAGACCATTTCTAATTAAGTAGTTGATCACAGGGTATCTGTGCATGCTGGTGAAAAACTGACTGCAGCTAAAGTTTGTTAAGAAAGAGGATTCATGCTCTGGAGATCTTTCTTCAGAGCAGTGTGACTGGACTGTGATTTCACCACGAGCCCAGCATGGGATTAGCGGTTGCTCTGTTTAGGTCAGGCTGGATGCTTTGTACTGAAGGAAGGTTGACGCCACATAAACCCAAATATGATAAAGAGTGTATTTATGATCCTCGCTGTGCATTCTCTCTAAAAATATGCCTGTTGCACGGCTGTAGCTCTGTAGTTTGCCATGTAAGGCAAGAGTAGGAGAGGCTTGAGCAGTGGAAGCTGGGAATCATCTACCTGGCGTTTTCTCAAGGCAACAAGAGGTAGTAAAGGTGATCTTCTCATGGTGATGAAGGGCATTGCATCCGTTTCCACTGCTCTGTTCCAAACTGGCAATGTTTGTCTGAACGTTCAGCCCAGGAGTGTTGCAAAATGTTGTATGTGTGAGGAGATTGTGGTTTTGTCATATGATAGAGATGGGTGAGAATCTGGGAAAGGAGGTTGGGCAGAGCCTTGGGGCTTGGGTTGGAAGTTGATTTCTCTTTGAATTCCTTCTGCAAATAATCACTTCCAAGTTGGGGACAGGAAGGTCCTATGAAAAGGTGGCCCACTGTGAAGGAAGGACAGAGCAGAAGGGGGAGGGAGGGGAGTCATTTGATCTCAGATGCTTAAGGAAGGTCTGAAATCTCTGGGTTTGTTCCTTTGCCTGTTTTTTGGCTTCAAAAGAAAATCAGGGTTGTAAATTCAGGTGGCATTGCCCTCGTGCTGAGGGAGGTCTGCAAGGGGAACAGGATCCTGCCCACTGGCACATATGTCTGGCTTTGCTCAGCAGAGGAAAGGCTGCTGATGTTTTTGAAAAGAGATTTTTTTATTTTTATTTTTTAACAGTCTATTCAGGCACGTGGCAAAGCAGCCAAATTGATTTTTAAACAGTCGTAATAAAAATAATCTCCTCCCCTGACTAATTAGCTTTTGCTTCCCTGTCATCTGTGATATCATAATAAACTGTTTAGTTCTCCAGTCAGTCTCTTGGGGAGGGGGGATATGGGGTAGCTGAGATCTGAATGGTAAATATCCAAAAGACCTAAGCAGTTAAGAATGACTGCTGCTTGCCTGTGCTTGCAAGCTTTTGGTTTTTCTTTTGGCTTCAGGAGAAGCAAACTCAGACAGAGTTTGCCTTTGCAGGTCACATAGCAGAATCCAAGATCTGATTCATTTTAATAAGGGAAAATAGGAGTGAGAAAGCTTTAGTGCTTTGTGGAGTGTGGTTTAGAGCGGGGACAGCCTTTTAGGGTAAAGAATGAGAAGAGGGGAGCTGAACTGGCTGATGTAATTTGAGAAAGCTTCGTTTTATTCCCTTTTTCCCAATGTGCTGAATATTCTGCCCGCGGTAGTTGGTGCATGGGTTGGTGTGTCAGGGTAGAGCTGGCATCTCGGGCTGAGATCTTCCTTGGCTGAAGAAGTCTCCAACAGAGAGGCAGAATGCAAAGCAATTGGAGCTGCCCTGAACATGTGTGGTTGTTTTGGACCAGCTGATCCAGGCTCCCGGAATCCTTCATTTCTTGCAGGTTCAGTCCCGTTCTTGCTTTGACTTTGGCAATCGCTGACTGCCCTCCGCACACTGCTCTCCTCAGGGCTCCTGGGGGTACCTGAGCACGGGGCACCAGCCTGTTTTCACCTCTGGGTGCCACACAAGGCCAGTTTGGCACTCAGGATTTTCACTTGACACTCCTTGGCCCCTGCCAAAACTTCATGGGCCTTTTGAAGCTCTGTTTTCCATCTTGCCTCATCAATTCAATTCCTTTTGAATAGGAAGCAGGGGAAATACTGCGTTGATATTACAACTCCAGCGTAATCCATTATGTTAGCATGAAGTTTGATTTATGTTTTTAAAAAAAAAAGTCTATGGGTAAATTGGAGTAAGCTTTGTAGAATTAGATTAAACTCCATGTGCTAGGGGACAAAGCCCAGGAGCAGTCTTTTTTTATTTTTCTGCTTGCTGGGTCCCACCATGCCTGGTACGTACTCCTGGTGCAGTACAGCTACTCAGTCAAGCCACAGTGAAGTATTTTGGATAGCATAAAGAGAGGAGCTACTTCAAGATAGCAGGATCCACTCAGTTGTTGGAAGACTCGCTGTAAGTAACCACAAGATGGTTTTGGAGAAACTTTCCTTATTTTTCCTGCAGTTTCATTCTTTTCTTCTGTGTGTGTATTTTTATACGAAAGTGGCAGACTGTGTATCAGATTTTGATGTATGCAATCCGTGAATACTCTGCAAAATACCCACAGTCATAAAGCAATATCTGTTAGTTGATGTACAAATGTCACATATGTCAAAGGAATTTATCCAGTGGCACACAACTGAAGTAAAATATTGTGCTTTACAGGAACATATCATTAAAATGAAAACTAACAGCGTATCAGGAATCTGCCCGTGTAACCAAGACAACAAAGAGAGAAAGAAAAGGAAAAACCAAGATAGAGATAGGGTAAGGAAAGAGCGAGTGAAACAGAATGACAAGGTTGGCCCCAGCTATTTCACTGCCCCAGGCAAAATACATTCTGCAACCCTCGCTCATTCGCATAGCTCCATGTGCAGACCAACAGGAAGGCACTGAATAACGTGCTGTAGAAATACACCCTCCAATTCTGCTGGCTTGTCCACAGCACAGCCTGAAATGAAATTATAAAGAGGATAAAAATGCAAAACTATGGAAAAGGAAAATTTCCCCCGTCCGTGTCTCGTGTATAGAAACCAGCACCCATGGATTAAAGGCCTGGTGGGGACTGGTGGCGTCTTGGGGATGGATAAAGGTGCCCTAGGGATGAGTGGGTTGGGAGACAGCCTGGTTCAGTTCTTTGCTCTGCCAGAAACTCCTGGTGTGCCTCCATACCTCATTTTCCCTTCTGCAAAGGTCAGGAGATATTTTGCTTGTTCAAAGAAATGTTGGGGAAAATTAATGTGCCAAAGGTTGTGAGGTGTGATCATATCAAACAGCTAAGCTAGACAGGTCAGATGGGGTGGAAAACCAGCTCCTGACCACTTGTGGGCATTAAAGATCCTGCGGTACTTATTAATGAGAACTATTTCAACCTGAAGTGCTTTGGTCAGATCCGAGTATCTGTAATTACCTCCTGTGCTGGCTGGGCCGTGGTGTTCCCCACCCCAACGTGGTGCTTCTGTACCACAACGGTAAATGTTGCCGCCGCTTTAGTATACTCCAGGGTGCTGGTGGGCTTCGTTGGCAGAGTGAGCTCCTGTGTACGATGGGAAGTGCTTCGAACAAAACTCATAACTGAAAGTCAATTGGCAACCCTGCGAATTTTTGAGTGATTTTTTTTTTTCAAGAGATACGAGAGCCTCACATGAGTTTCACAAAAGTCTGTGTTCTTTTTCTGCAAACCATCAGGAATGGGAGTCATTCCTGGGTATGTGCTTCTTACAAACCACTTCACTGTAAAACAGCCATGTGCCAAAATCCACTGACTTTTATTTTTTTCCTTTGCTCACTCTCTCATTACACACTTAGATCTTCACTCCCGTGGCAGGAGAAAGCTAGAGGTGGACTCACAGCGATACTTTGCGCAGTTTTGTATGCTTATTTTGGATTTTTTTTCTAGTGGCTGGCCAAATTATGTGCCATTATATCTGTCATCACTAAGGGAGCACTGCAGTATTGAGTATGCCTTGTATTCCTTCCCTAGGCAGTTAATTTATGGGTCATTGCTTTTGTGCGGATATTCTCCAGTCAAAGAGACACAACTTAACTGCAATTATTCTGAGTATAGATGCAGGTGTAAGGGCAATTTGAGTTTACAAATGTCAACCTGGGAAGAGCCCTAGGAACTGCACTTCTAACAGAACAAAGCTCTTTGTCCATTTTGAAGCATTTATTTGGAAATGAAGTAGCAGTAATTTACATATACTTGAAACTTTCCCATAAGAATTTTTTTTTTATTCCATCAAAATATTTCATTCAAAGCCTTTTCTATGCTAAATTCTTTTCAGAGAAAGAAATTTGGCTTAAAAACCTATTCTTTCACTGTGTCCTGTATTTCATTTTTCATAAAATCCCATCAGTTTGAGGTATTTGAAGGCCTTTTTAGATTTGGACTGCCATTTGAGGTGAAGGTTTTCAATCAGATCAGACAGTTGAGAAATCTGGCCAGCACTTCCCACCAGGCATCACCTCTATTTAGTAAAAAATTCTCGGTATCGACCAGTTTCACGAACCACCCTCTGGATTACGCTGAACCCTCGAGACCCTGCTTTCTTTGGATCCAGAGACAAAACACCGTAGGGAGATTTTTAGATCTGAGAGCTCAGATCTGCAATTCTCATTTTGGTCCATCTCACCGCTGTGTTGGGGAAGGCTGCCTTTCTCGGATTGATAATTGGATTGGAAAGTACGTGCAAGTCTGAGCTGCTGCCGGTTTCTGGCCACGTAGCTGTGGTTATCCCATCCCATCAGCTGGCTGACAGCTCTCCTGGTTGGATGCTGGAGTGCTCTTTGCAGCCCACTTGCCTCGAAGAGGGAGTGGGAACCGCTGTCAGCTATTAAGGAGTCAGCCTGTGGCTTGGAGAAGATGCCCCTTTGTCTACGGTAGTGTCAGGACTGCTTCTGTAA